GACTAGGCACTTTGCCACAATCAATTGTAATTGAAATGTGGAAATTTCAGAGGAATTTCAACAGTTGTGAGAAAAATGACTGTACAAATAATTCTCTATGAATCAAACTACGAGTATTGAAAAAGACAAACATGTTTTGAGACTTTGTTTTGTGGACGTTAATTTTAATGATCATAGTTTACGTGGGACAATTCAATTACGTGGGACACCGTGTTTCGTCACTTCTAACAATTTTCTTGATATAGACTTACAGCCTGTTATGCCGACGACTAATTCGGAAGCTCCCATGTATCTGATTTTGCTCAGATAAAGCAAAAACCTCGAACATAATTTTCGTTTTTGTAACTTTTCCGAAAGAACGGTGTGTGCATGTTTACCGACACTTCATATCTTTTGCTATAATTCGGCATGTCATACGACGATCTCTAACCAGAAAAAAAGAAACGTTCTGTTTTCATGAATCCATCAAAAACATTCAAACAACCGTGTATAACCTGGCATCTCGTATTGGTAGGCTTGTTTCAAATGCTGCAAGGTTTATTTTGAAGTTTACCTAAATTTAAAATAAAACATAATGGTTTCACATTAATCCATTACAAGAATTTTGAGAGAGAAAAATGGCATTAGCGCTTTACTCAGAGACTGCTACACTCAGTACTTTTATTGCGAGACGAAAACTTTCATACACTGAACATGCGTATAAAATAATAAGAAATAAATGAATATATATTCAATTTTTAACTTTGATATTTCTTTTGTCCAAAACGAAAATCAATATGATTACTGTTCTATTTTTAATAGCCGATTAACCCACTTATTACAAAAGATTAATATATTATAGATAACTTTGCAGTTTATCGTTAGCGAGAAAAACTTGTACTAGATATAATATTTTATTAAATTTAACAATTCAATATCAATGATTAATTGTTATTTAAATTTATAGTGTATAAGCAATTAAATTACGTAACTATACAGCCCATAAATAATTAATTTCTAATTACTTTTATGTCTTATATTCGCCGTTATAAGAGCATTTTAAACATTTCGGAAGACAAATAATATTATGCTTTTTTATAATTAAGTAATTAATATACATTCGTGAAAAATATGTCATCAGAACAGAAGATAACGGCAAATATATTATATTTTTTGCGATAAGATAAATAACTGAATTTAAAATAGCGTTTTTATTGATTTCAGCAATCATTTGAATAAAACTTTCACACTCGATAAATGATATAAAGCACGAAAACACTTTTTATTTGGAATGATGACATCGTTCAGCGATGAAACTGTGGATAAAAGTACATCAATATTTTGGTATTTTCAATCCATTTATATTTTTATTTAACCTGAACTTTTTTGTAGCTACTCCGTTACTTTCTTCTCAAAGAATTTCTTCAGTTCGAGTAAGTATAAAACAAAATAGAAGTTTTTACCAGTTATTTCATTTTATGTGTAATTGTTTTATTTATTTAACGAAAATAACTTAAAAATTGCCATTTGATCCGTAAAAATATTCTGAATTATTTATTCAAATATATATTTTTTTCAGGAAAAGCTTCCATATCCAAAGGCCGCATTGTTCATTTTGCTGCTTCCATTTGGAATTTACTTTTTCTACGTTTCATTATTAAGTAAGTTATTTTATCGATTTTATTACGTTATAAAATTGCGGTGAAAGTAACAAATTTTGTCGAATTTATTAACCATTTTTATAAAACACAATACAGCATCGTGTTTAAAAACATAAATAATGCTAGTTGCGTTAGTAATAACTAGCTTATAAAAAATTCATTTTTTTTCCATTTATCAAAATTTACTTCCAGAAGAATATTCCAATTAGAATAACTGGAATATTCTTCTGGAAAATTCTTCTGAAATATTCTTCTGGAAAATCGATCTGAAAAAATTAGATTGATGTGAAAACGCAAGACAAAACTTAAGAAATCAGGGAAAATTCATTTCGAAAGGCCTTAACCTGGAAAGTGATTGTATCTAGATGTTATGTACTGAATAAAGCCTGGTGAACTCTACGTCCATTGGTCCGTTTCCAACCCGCGATCATCTACCACAGACAGGTGCAATGTTCTTCAATATTCCAACGACCAATCATACATGAAATGTTAATGAAAAGTAGAAAAAGTAGAATTAAATGTTTAGTGAGTTTTAAACAGGTCATGAACTAAACGGGTAAATGTTTTAGCTACTTTATTGGTATTAGGATTTATGAGTACAAGAAATTAAGTAAACTTGTTTAAAATGACGGCATTGTAGTTGGATTTTATTCAGAGGAAGCAACATNTTAATCAATTATATATTTTTAAAAATTGCCATTTGATCCGTAGAAATATTCTGAATTATTTAATCAATTATATATTTTTAAAAATTGCCATTTGATCCGTAGAAATATTCTGAATTATTTAATCAATTATATATTTTTAAAAATTGCCATTTGATCCGTAGAAATATTCTGAATTATTTAATCAATTATATATTTTTAAAAATTGCCATTTGATCCGTAGAAATATTCTGAATTATTTAATCAATTATATATTTTTAAAAATTGCCATTTGATCCGTAGAAATATTCTGAATTATTTAATCAATTATATATTTTTAAAAATTGCCATTTGATCCGTAGAAATATTCTGAATTATTTAATCAATTATATATTTTTAAAAATTGCCATTTGATCCGTAGAAATATTCTGAATTATTTAATCAATTATATATTTTTAAAAATTGCCATTTGATCCGTAGAAATATTCTGAATTATTTAATCAATTATATATTTTTTTCAGAAAAAGCTTCCATATCCAAAGGCCGCATTGTTCATTTTGCTGCTTCCATTTGGAATTTACTTTTTTTATGCTTCATTATTAAGTAAGTTATTTTATCAATTTTATTACGTTATAAAATTGCGGTGAGAGTAATAAATTTTGTCGAATTTATTAACTATTTTTATAAAACACAATACAGCATCGTGTTTAAAAACATAAATAATGCTAGTTGCCTTAGTAATAACTAGCTTATAAAAAATTCATTTCTTTTCCATTTATCAAAATTTACTTCCAGAAGAATATTCCAATTAGAATAACTGGAATATTCTTCTGGAAAATTCTTCTGAAATATTGTTCTGAAATATTCTTCTGGAAAATCTATCTGAAAAAATTAGATTGATGTGAAAAGGCAAAACAAAACTTGGGAAATCAGGGAAAATTCATTTCGAAAGGCCTTAACCTGGAAAGTGATTGTATCTAGATGTTATGTACATGAATAAAGCCCGGTGAACTCTACGTCCATTGGTCCGTTTCCACCCCGCGATCATCTACCACAGACAGGTGCAATGTTCTTCAATATTCCAACGACCAATCATACATGAAATGTTAATGAAAAGTAGAAAAAGTAGAATTAAATGTTTAGTGAGTTTTAAACAGGTCATGAACTAAACGGGTAAATGTTTTAGCTACTTTATTGGTATTAGGATTTATGAGTACAAGAAATTAAGTAAACTTGTTTAAAATGACGGCATTGTAGTTGGATTTTATTCAGAGGAAGCAACATACGTGGAATGGACCTCTTTCCGTTCAGAAAATACCAAGTAGTAGTTAAATTTAAATGTAAATTGACTACGTTTAAATTTAAATATGTTTTAAAGTAATAGTGTTTGTATAATTCGAAATTTCTCCGTAGTTAATGACGAAATGCTTGTCTCGAAAACATTAAGCGACACGTAATTTCATGCATTTTAATGGAGGTTAGAAATAATTATATTGCAGAAACAAATAATATTAATTTTAATTTCTTTTGAANAAAGTAATAGTGTTTGTATAATTCGAAATTTCTCCGTAGTTAATGACGAAATGCTTGTCTCGAAAACATTAAGCGACACGTAATTTCATGCATTTTAATGGAGGTTAGAAATAATTATATTGCAGAAACAAATAATATTAATTTTAATTTCTTTCGAATATTTTAGACATTCTTATTTTATATTTCACCCAAGAACTTTTGTACGACGATAACGAAGCAACTAATATATATCACACTTTTTCTATGGCGACATTTTTTGTAAGCCTGTTAGGTGCAGCACTGGCTGACACTGTGTTAGGAAAATTTAGGTGAGAATAAAACTTCAATTAGTTAAATTATCAGAAAAATTCATGTGTCTTAAAGCCATTTATAAGATATAACCGAAGTATTAATTGTGTATTTTTATTTATAGAACAATAAGTTACATGTTAATTTTAACTTTATTTGGATGCGTAATCCTCACTATGGCTTCTGTCCCAAATTTTCTTCCAATGAGGTAACTTATGAATTTATTTTAATTTGTATTATCGTACTTAAAAATACCAGAAAAGATTTACAATAATTTAAGTTCTTGTCATTCCTGTATTAAAGAAAACAGTTTACCATATTTTCATTTAAAATTTGAATTTCTAAGTTATAATATTCGTGTGATATTGTATATTCTTCAATTATCTGTTTTTTCGGTTTAAAAATATATGCAAAATATTAAGAAAATTTATAAAAGCTCAGTTTTATCTTTGTATTTAGATTGACGACTATGGTTAGTTTAGTAGTGATAACTATTGGAACAGGAGCAGTACAACCTTGTCTTCGTGTGTTTGGAGGAGATCAGTTTCAAGCAAATCAGGTCCTTATTTTTTCATTTATACATTGTTAAATACTAATATACCTCGACATACGATTATCTTCTTCTCTTGAAGTAGTCCTGGCCAATTTATATTGGAGTATGACTGACCAAGTTAAATGCACCAATGGTCTGCTTTACATCGCCATTCTTCTATAAAAGCTTAATAATTTTATTAAAATTATACTACAGAACATAGTTATACTTATTTATTATGCAGTAATTAACATTATAGAACACCTCTTTGGTAAATGCACTAAAAACATAAATCAAACAACACCATTTCTATTTCATTGTAATAAAAAAGAATTATTTTTCTTCTCTTCACACAAATCGCAAATTTTTCTCTTGTTTGGTTTATTCAGTTTGCACTTAACTGAAATATGTTAAGGTACAACTTAACAATTACTAGAATAACAATATAACCTAGCAAAACCCTTTGACACAAAGAGTATCACACTTTATCCTATGAAGAGTAACCTACTTGAATTTTATTTTTACTACTTGTCCATGGGCAAGTAATTAAAAGAAATTTCTCGGTGAAAGGCATGAATTTAATTGGGCTGCAACCTTGAAATTGTAGATCTACACATTTTCACTATTGTCTGTCTGCTGTCTGTCCTTCGAGAACGAAGTTACATGGATTAAAATTCAGACTACTTGAAAAACTTAAGGCCAGAAGCCCCGATTAATATACAAACTTCTAGTCGAGACCAAAAGTCACGTGATTTTTAAAATTTTAATTAAAATTCTATCGCGTTCCTTGCTTTTTAACATGCCATATTTTCAGCAATCGACTTGTTGGCCATCCCCGCCATAAGATTTCTTGCAGGCCTAGACGTTTCGCCAAACAAAAGTGCATATAGTTAAAACCAACAAAGCTGTGTACCGCAGCATTATTCTACTTATAACCTGTATAATTAACATTGATTACTGTTTATAATAATCTTAGATTAAAAATTGGTTACAAAAGTATGGCACTTTTGTAAAACGATCATGTAACCTCTCGTCATCTGACAATGTGTATTCGCTTGCGAATATTACGTTGGACTTCCAATCAAATGAACAAGGCTGTTAAAACTGTCGTAAGTCGAAGTACGTCTACTTATTGCTCATTTCTCTCTATTAATAATACTATTAAATACTCGTGAAATATTCATTTATAATTAAAGATGTCGCAGCAAATAGTTATGCAGGTATGCTTTTAAATAGCATAAAATTCATTTTTCCTTGTACTAATTATTTTACAAATGCATTTAATCTTTCTTAAAATTATTATAAAATAGGTAAAATATTAATTTTGAGGATAGAGATAAATCTTATTTTAAATATATATATATAGCCTATATGCTAATAACGAGAAAAATTGTTATTAAATCTTGCCCTTCTCGAGATACGACACAAAACTCCCGTTTATCTTCCCACTCTTTCGATTTTTAACTACCAAACTTTAATAGCATGATGTGCCATAAATAAACAAACTTCCCTACCAAATTTCTGAAATCTTTAATAAAAGACAGGAGAAATTAAGTCACATAGCGGATGGAAAAATTGTGCCACTCACATACACAACTAAAATTCACACATACAGAGAAAATCATCAAATACAGTATTTTTGCATTTCTTCAATGCTTCAAGATCCACTGAGTCCAATAATTGGGGGGGGGGCATCATTTGACTAATCGCTATCCTTTCCCTCTATTAAATATGCATATATCGCATATAAAATAAGCTGAAAAAGAACATTTAAAGTGCGGTCCAGACTATCAAATAACGTGATGCAGATCTAATATAATAGCAGTATAGCAGACTAATCACTTAGTCCGTTAAAAAAAAAAGACTACGTCCTTGGCTGAATTGAGACCGTCTTATAAGACACTATGCCCGCAGTTTTGCGTAAAGTGTACCTGGATATAATATAAAAAAACCACAAAAATGTACAAATTATAATGTTTTACGTTATATCCACAGTACTTTTTACATACTATCTTAAATAAATTATATATATTTTTTAAATACACAGTTTCGTGCAAGTTATATAAATAAATTGCTTATAGATACTTAAAATTAACTGAATTTTTATTCCATTAATAATTATAATCATTATAGTTTATATATAATTTACAGAAAATAGAATTACGCAGATTTTTTTCTCATTTTTCCATTTCCTTGAGATTTGGGACGATGCTGTCGATGATCCTAGTGCCTATTTTTAGAGGTAAAAGTGTGTATTTACGTAATAAAACAAATAACAATTAAATAATAAGCTTTAGCTGTGTTCTGCGAAAAAATTATTTCCGCTTCCATCAAATATTTTCACTCATTTTTGTAGTTTCAGTGGTACTGAATACCAATCTGACAACAGAATTAACCTAACACCATCACTTTTGAAAGAAAACATTTTTGTTTAAAATATCGTATTTATTAGCTAATTGGCTATGTAATAAATGTATGTTAATTACTCCCGTTTGATAATTCTAAACATTTCAAAAGTGAAACACAAAATGATACGTTTTCTTCCTTTTCAATTCTTCTTCTGAAGTCTCTCGCTTTGGATTTCAGCAGTAATCCGCTATCATGTTCTCGTTCCCTTTTCCCTATATCGCTTTTCAAGGTGAAAGTCTGGTGAAACATTTCTCCCTGTCCATCAGAAATAGCTCTTGTGTTGGCGAAAAAACTCTAAATGGGCAAGCAGGAAATAGCATCTTGAGTGAGATATTGCAATCCAATGTTTGTAGAACGTTACCAAATTTTCTACGATTTTCTCATATTTGTTAGCTCGTACATTCCCAAAAACACTTGCTTACGTTCTCGAATTCCTCCACTCTCTTCTTTCCGTTCAGTTACGTTTTTTCCTCTAAACTAAGATTCTTCAAATTCTGTTTTATTATGGGCCAACGGAATTCCCTTTCTCAGATTACAAAACTTTGCTTCAGGAAAGTAAAATCTTCTTTTCTGTTCTTACCTTTCACAATGTTTTTCATCAAAGTGATCTTGATACGAAGAGGAGGTATGAGGATTTTAGTTTCCCCCAGAGCGGGAAAAGCATTATTCTTCTTACCAAGTATTTATTGAATGGTAAGAAGGACTCCTTGATTGATTGCCTCATTCACATAAAAAACCAGCAGAATTTGGTGTATCCTCTTTAAAGATCTGTTAGCATTGCAACCACTTTGAGATCAGCGCACGGAATACCTTCATGTTATACTAAGTTTCTTTCATTCAAAGATTATGAGCAAACGAAACGGATGAATATTTGTTGCCATTGTAAAGCAAAAGTCCTTTAAGGCTGAACTTTGATGAGTCCGTAGAGAGATCCTGTAGCTGCTGAAGTTCCTCCAACAAATGTGGTATATCGATGCAAAAAAACGAGATTGTCTTCCATTGAAAAAATTTTAGGTAACCTGATTTCTTTTCTCTGTAACAGGAAGCATCACTGCTTAAGACGTAATGCAAATAGTTTAGCCCTTCTTTTTGAAAGATCCAAAACACAAATCAGATCTGACATCTACCAGCTGACATCCTGTACACCTAATTTAGGAGAATTCATTTCGGATTTCAGATTCATATTCAGCACACTACAATATAATAAAAATATCGCATTATCTTTCACGGAAGGATTTTGATGCAGAACAGTGTAATAATTCTTCTAACTCTACTTAACTTTTTAGTTCTTCCTATTTTATTTCATTTTTCACAGAGATAATTAATTCTTATATGTTAAGTAATGATTGTATGCTATTCCCAAGTATTTATATATATATACAAAAGTCAGACTAAGTATTGATAGTATGTATCATGCACGACAGATAAAGGTTTCTTCTACACCGTTAAAGTATTCGCATCAAGTTTGACACGAATATTCTTTGTTATCCTAGGAAGAACTGTGGGGTCCCACTCCAACTACCCCTAAATACCAACCCGCTCTTAAGTTAAGCCCGGACAATTTTTTGTATTTTGCGTTTTATTAATGTAAATATTCGGGTCAACAGATGAAAATTTTATTTACCAACACCATTGCTTTTATCACCCTCTCTAAATCCCCACTACCTCAAAAGCTCAAGCAATGCTTGGCACACACAGAAAATACCATAATAATACTGGAAACTAGCATACAACACTACTCGTTTGTTATTAAACAAACTATTATTCTTCGGGAAAATTAAAATATAATAATAGTAATAATAAATTCTTTCATATCTTTTCATTTAGCTAAGGTTCATTGTTTTGAAGAGTCGACGTGCTACCCTTTAGCTTTTGGTTTTAATTTAGTTCTACTTACACTGACTTTAGGTAAGTTAATTAATTATAGCTTGATATTAATCTAATTTTTCTTAACTGTAATTAAAAAAGGCGTTGACAGGATTTTCTGTTAAAAGATAAAATATATAGGGTTTAGATTAAAATATTTCAGCAAGTTATACGTTGTTTCTACTAAATATTAACTAAATACAAGTGTATGATAGTTTAGGTAATAGGTAGTGGGTTATTAGGCCCTACTTGGCCCTGGATTTCCTCTTCCCATGGAGCTAAATTCTATCTCCGTGTCCATGAAAAATACTGACACAGTATAAATTACAGTTAAGATCATAAATTTAGTAAAATGCGTTGTTTTTTTTTTTTGCAAAATAGTCAAATGAACTTTGTCAAAAATGGGTGCGAAAAATGTAAAGCTTTTCTGCGTAGTTTCATGCGCTTAAGGCTGCGTTAACTGTATAAAGAGACTCTAGGGGCATAATTTATAGGAATATTATTTTAAAACAAAGTAACTCTGTGTGAGCCTTCTCTACATGCTGGAGGAAGACTCACAGTTTCTACAATCTAATTTTAACGAGGTCAAGCCGCTCGCGCTTTGAATGTTTTGCCCACACATCAAACATTTGATATTAATCTCCTGACTTTCTAGAATTTTATAAATTAAATTGTACCACTATCTGTAATAGAAGCCACGATAGGATTTCCCCCACAAGAAGGAAAAGTCGAGGATGCACGCAATCGAATAGCCCATTATGGATCACCTATATTTTGATGTCATTGTATTTAGCTGATACGTAGAAGCAAAATATATGTATACTGCTGCAATATTATCTATAAGCTGTAGAACAAGGGTCTCCAAACTACGGCCCGCGGGCCGGATCCGAACCGCGAGGTCAGTTCATCCGGCCCGCCGTCGCATTGTGCTAAAAATTAGCTAAAATATAATTTTGTATAATTATAATTATATTTATATTTTTATGTAAATAATTATATTTGTAGATAAACTTACTATGTAGAAAAAAATTAAAATAAGTGTAAGTAAAATTGCCAAAAACTGGTTTAATCTGATTTTTGCATCTGACAGTAATATAGTTTTTAGGAAAATCGATAAAATAAAAAATTCGGCGACTTTTTACTGCTTTGGATATCAGAGCGCTTTTTGTGTACAGATACTGTACACAAAAAACGCTCTGAAAAAGTACAGGGTGGTTATAATTAAAGTTGCTCCACTCAGATTGTCTAGAGCCCGTTCTCGTAGACGTATTTTGATAAAACTTGGTATATATGTTACTAGCTGTAGGCCTATACAGCCACGCATTGCTATGGCTCAAAATGTATCTATTATAAATGTATAACACTCTCCGCGGGAGGGAAATTCAAAAAATTCCTTCTTATTATACATTCTCCTGACATACCCTATTAAATTGCAATCAAAAACGCAAAAAACCACGTCAAAAATAGTATAATAGAAGCTGAGTTCTACACGGTAAGCCTTAATTTTGTCCCTCTCCCCCNTACCCTATTAAATTGCAATCAAAAACGCAAAAAACCACGTCAAAAATAGTATAATAGAAGCTGAGTTCTACACGGTAAGCCTTAATTTTGTCCCTCTCCCCCGCAGGGGGGGGGAATTTCGACATCTATATAATATACAAGTTCGGATACGTGCACTGCATATCTCGCCGACCACGCGACTGCGCCGCGCGATTATCTATCTGGTATACATACGCGTCTTGCCCCTCGCCACCCGCTGACATCAAAAATATAACTCATACCTAGATGATATCTTTTAATTTATATGAATTTTTAATGGAATAATATACAGCCTATTTCCACCCTGAAGGTTAATTCTAAATATTCGTGAAAGAAGGTTTGAAATTGGATGAGTAGTTTTGGAGATTACCTCCGACATCCAAACTTACAAACTTTACCTCTTTATAATATTAGTATAGATATTTACAGCTGTAAGGCGTTTTGAACATGTAATTGATGCAAATAGATTGCACATTGAACAAATGTTGTGAATAAAAACCTTTTGCGTGTTTCCATTTTGTGTTTCTTGTTCTTCATGCGCCATTTTTTACCTAGTGGTAAAAATTCGAACTAAGTATTTTTTTTGCATTTTCCTTTTCCCCGTGGTCCATATAACATATATATCATCAAAATACGTCCACGACAACGAGCTCTACACAGGTCTGAGTAAGTCAACTTTAATTATACCTGCAATGAAGTTTCTAAGGAAAGCGATTACGATCTTGCTGCAGCGACTGTGTTTATGTATTGGTAAATAAATTTGTTGGTTGTCTTTATTTTTTGTGTATTAAGTATACTGTATTGAACAAAATAGTTATGTGACCCGTGCTCGTCATTCTCTCAGTTATGCGGCCCAATGTGAAAAAAGTTTGGTGACACCTGCTGCAGAGGATTTTCACCAGCTGACGAATCAATTAAAAAGTCTTTCTTCTTTATCATATTTTGAGTCTGAAACTAAAATAAAAAAGATAAATAATAAGAAGAATTTATTGAAATTTCGTTTACAGTTATTTTTCTAATTGGATATCCCACTTATAAAATTAATCCCATTTCTGGAAATGTATTGCTGAATGGAATCAAGTGCATAACGGTAAGTATATTTTCTTTTATTGAAGTAATTAAAATTAATTATATTGCAATTAATTTTGGTGCAATTTGTAAAAAAATCTCGAGATAAAAAAAATACTTAATCTCGAGAACGGAGTTAGGTAAATGTAATTCGATACCAGATATGAAAAGCTTACATGAGATTCCGAATTTCCGGTTTGCATTCCAACGCATTTTACATTATTACAATACTGTTCCTTTTGGATATTAAAAAGTTCCATTTATAAACATAAAATTAAATAAATTATCTCAAAAATATCAATTCAATAGCATCGGATAATATCAAGGATCATTAAAGATATAGAATTTGCAGACAATCGAAAGATATCATTGTAAACAGGTCATACTAAATACAAGTCCACTCTGCCACAGATAGATAATATTTTTTAGAAAGATGATGTGTGATGTAATATGGAAAACAATACTAACACGATGCAACACTTCTTTATCGGATACCTTGAACTGGTTTTAAAAAAGTGAAATTTATATCAATTTTATCAGATAAACGAATATTTATATTGAAAACAGAGAATAATATAAGAGTGCTTTTCAATTTTAAAAAATTATAGAAGAAACCAAGTAGTCTTCAATTCCGACATGTCAACTAACAAAGGAACACTGATTAAAGTTTCTATTTTTGTTAATATTGTAAAAATATCGTCTACCATTTTAATTAAAATTAAAATATGTATTAAAATTAATTTATAATTTGCCATAATGTTTAAACTCTTCTTTTCTTTCGTAGCATGCAGTTGCAAGGAAAATTAAGTTGAGGAAAGTGGTGATCAAAAACCATTGGTTGGATTATGCAGATGATAAATTCAATGTAAGCTATATTTTTTCCTAAATTGTGAAGCTTCAATCCTTAATTATTCAAACATTACATATGTATTTCAGTCTCAAACAATTTTTGATATGAAAGTAACTCTTCGAGTTGTGTTGATATCATTGACATCGTCTGTAATTATTTCTTTAACGCTTCTGAGGGTAATTATTTTAAAAAGTTTTATGAAAAAATGTAAAGAATGTAGAAATTGTACATTAGACATTTAATATCATATATTAAATTTATATTGTATTTTGAAGGGGTCGAGTTTTATATTACAAGCGACAAAACTACAAAATACAGTGGTAAGTAATAATTTCGCCATTTTTTAAAAAAATTTAAAAATCTGTTTTAGTAAAGAATGCTAGTAAAATTTTTCCGAGTCAATATAATTTAAAGTACAACAATAAGAGTTTAATAATATATCCTACAATATCTGTTCCGTTTTTTTGAAACATCCACGCTTAAAATATAGTCTACTTCACAAACTAGAATAAGTAAATCGAAAGAACATTAGATTGACACTTTAATGCCTAGGTCATTTGATCGGCCATGTTAAAAGGTTGAAAATATGTAGGCCTACTTAGTGGTTGCTGTAAATTTCTGTACGTTTATATGCTTAATGGTGGCTGTAATTACAGCAAGTAATTAAGCATCAATATTTAGTAAAACAAACAATAAAAACTGCCAAAATTTTGCAGTTTCCAAACACTGCTTTTACATAGATATAACGTTACTCAGAAATGACGCAAAATTATGTTTGATTTTAAAGGTATTATAGTACTAAAGCAGTGGATGACACACGTAGAATCCAGTCGAAGCATTTTACAGATACATTATCGTTGTAGCCATCTTGAATTTCGTATTTAGCTCTTCCGAACTTCGCTGCTATTGCCTGCAACGAGTATCTTAAAGCGGAAGTCAATAAACAGATTTTCAACAAATAAGCTTTAAAAAACTTTGTTGAAAGATAGTGGCCTGGTAATGGTTTTTAAAACAACTTTCCTTGGCTGTATATTAGCGCTGTATATTAGCGTTGTATATTAGGAACAAGGCCTACAGAAACTGGCAACAATGGTGAGCGTGCCAATTCCAATTATTGCAGAATGAGATTATAAATATATTTTTTCATACGAGAAACTGGTCTCTGATTGTTAATAATTTGGAACACTCTGAAATTATTAATTTAACAAAGAAGTTCGAAATTTTTGAAAAATAAATTTTTTGAAAAATAAATCGACTCTAAACTATTCGTTTTCACACATATTTAAAAGTAAATAATTATGCTAAAAGCAATTTTAAAAACACATTTAATTTAAATTATTATATATGTACAGTATATATTTAGTTTTTCATATAAGTTTTGACATATTTTACAAATTTAATTTTTTTAACATCATGTAAATTATAAATGAATATTACTTTTATATCGGCGATAATTTGCTAATTGTTAAAATTAGTTTCTCATAAACTTTCCCAGTTAGGCTTCAAGATAGAACCAGACCAACTCTCAATATTATTGCCAATAATAGGCATTTTGTGCGTTCCTGTATTTGAATACGTTGTGTATCCCATCTGCAATAAGTGTAACTTGCTAAACAGGTATTTAAATTATTTTAAATATTCTAACCATTTTATTATAAAAGTATTACATAATATCGATTCCGGGTATGAACACTGCTTATACAAATACATTGATAACACTAGCAGAATTGCAAATAAAGCCTCGATTAAGGGTAATTACATAAAAATGTACGAGCTTTGCTAATTGCATTGCTCGTACATTTTTATGCTTTTCTTTTCGAAATTTCGGGAATAGGATATTCTATAACTTTTAATCCTAAATTTCCAAAACGAAAAGTTACAATGCCACACGCTCGTTAATCTTTCCCTGGATCATTATTTGTTCTTTTGAATAATCTTCCATTTCGTATGACTGCAGAGATTGGTTCTCAGTGCCATCGACAGGGAGAGCAGTTAATTCTTCCCGTGACCATGGCACTTAATTGTTTTCATCCCTATTAAATTTAATTTTAATAACAGAAAATAAAATATTTAAGAGTGCTTTTTTCATAATTATACATTTTACGTATTTTATTTGTTGAAAAACATGAGAAAAAATGCCCTCCCCATACGAATTGTTCGTACTCTTATTCTCTAGGGCAGTGTTCAGCAGTGTTCTTCTCGCGGTACATCTATGACTCGACATGGCACACCAAAATGTTATTTTCCTCAAAAACGTATAATATGATACTATTAATAGAATTTCGTAATGCCATAAACCTATTATTATTATTATGTACAGTTTTGTGAGTTACACTCGGTTGACACCGATGGTTGTGTATTATACCGGACCAGAGTCAAAACATAATAACTTCAAAACAAGACAAAAATTAAATAAGTGTGTCAGTGTGTGTCTGTATGCAGGAATGTCCTAAGAATATGACATGAATTCAATATAGTGGCATTCTGTAGTGTGATGTATGAGTTTATATTCAATTTTAATGTTCCCAGGCTTTTGTGTAGTGTTTGGTATAAAACTTGTAGAAAAGAGAACCACAGATACAATAAGCACTGTATCCATCCTTCATAGATGCCTTATTTCCTAGGCGAGTTCTGTGTACTTGCTGGTTTTTTCACTGCGTGCGTTTTGTACATCGTGAGTGTTCGAAATAGATATGTCTATAATGTATGTGATTTTATTGTGTTTCTCAATGAGTGTGATGTCTCGTCTGTTGTGGTAAATTGTTTTATCTGTGATTGTGGTGGTTTTAGTAGATTCTGTGTGTGTTGTTTTCCAATACTACCTGCTGAATGTATCTGTAGTATGGTTCGTGAATGTCTAATAATTTGTGTTTCTTTGCAAGCTCTTGATGTATTTGCTACTTGATTATATCTATGTAAATTATCTGTCTGTGCCAAAAGCTTGCAACCAGAAGTGATGTGTTGTATGGTTTCTGGCATGATGTGACATTTTCTGCATGTGTCGTTTGTGATTGTTGTATCTTTGATTATGTGTTTTCTGTAGTTTATATTATTTATGACCTGATTCTGTATGGCAATCATGAATCCTTCCGTTTCCTTAAAGAGGCATCCCCGAGATAACCAGCTGTTTGACGCAGGTTTTGCAACAAAATCCTGGGCCAAGTCATGGGGATGTCTGCCATGGAAGTCTTTTCGCACCTACGATTGCTTGATGGTGTTTATGCTATTTGTATATTATGTCTTACGTTGTATATTATGTCGTAACGTTATATTATGTCTTATTATGTCCATACGTTGTGAATGTAATGGATGTAAATTTAATGGTGTTTTAATGATGTTTTAATTTAATTTGAGTCTGCTAGAGTTACTGCTTTATGTAACTGTGATGTTTCTTGTTTTTTGTAGAAAAATTCGAAATGTCTGTATTTGTTTGTAGCAGAGGTTAATTATGTGGATCAGGCCACGTCCTCCATCTTTACGTGGAAGGGTTAATCTTTCTATGGCAGATTTAGGATGATGTTGTTTATGCTTAGTAAGTGTTGTTCTTGTTTTCATTTGGAGTTGCTCGAGATCTGTGTGAGTCCAATGTATAACTCCAAAAGAATAAGTGAGAACTGGGACAACATGAATGTTTATTGCTTTAACATCATCTTATTTCATAAGTGAATGAAATACAAGCATAAGAAACATAGCAACTGTTGCGGAACACTGTTCTAGGGCATCATCTGAAATACTAATGTCGTACGGTCCTCAAACTAATCTCATGTTTAAAAATTGAAATATCTTTTGAACGTCAGAAATTCGTGTTGACTGCAACCAAATTTTTGTTCGTATGAAAATCTTATTAACAAAATTTCATTCTAAAGCTAAATACTAAATCTCATATTATATATTTTAATGTAAACGATTTGTATATATGTATCAATAATACCGTAATTGCTCGCAGCATCTTTAGTTTTGTTTACATTATTACATATTAACAATGATTATCAATACATTTGGGAGTTTTATTTATGGCTGCAAAACTTTAATTATATGAAATTTTTGTTGTAGTATACTATGCATAAGTTATTTCTCTGCGTGCATATTACCTTACATGAAGTCTCGAAGATTTTATTTTTCCTAATACAGTAGACCCCCTATAACACGGTAGATACGTTCCGTGTTTTATGAAATTCATGCTGTACGAGTCCTTAAATACATGAGCTAATCACAGCCCGGCACGTGTGCAGTTTACGGACTACGGCTGTTTGAAAGGTTTCCTTCCATAAAATTAATTTGACCCAACATTTTCAAAGCACGTATAATTTTTTGGGAATAATCCATATAAACTATGCTATAAACAAAAAATTGTAGTTATTACTTACCGAGTCTGCACCGTTCGACGACGCCATTGCTTAAGCTTGTTTTCGTCGCGAAGCGGCGCATCGAACGGCGGGCGCGTTTCCTGATAAATTATTTTTCGCAGAAAAATTTGCTGAACTTTGAAGACATCATTAATATAAATATAATTTTTATGAACGTGAAATAATAAATGGTTTTTAGTTGGTCCGCTGTTCATTTAAACTCAACGGTTTGTGCAATATCCGCTATTGGTCTAGATTCGATCAATCCTATCGCGACACAAGTCGGCGATGACGTTTTACCGTATCATACGAGTTTCTTTTAGCGTGTTTATACGAATACGATCGCAATTTATTCGTCGTCATATACGAATCCGTATTATATGAACCCATTTTATAGGGGGTCTGCTGTATATCATTGTTTTCCTTAATCATAACTCTTGTATAGAAACGATTTTCGCAATTCTGCTATAATTTAAAATACAGAAAAAGAAAAACAATGGTTATTATGTAGAATTTTATGTAAAAAGTGCATCTAACCCGACAACAGATTTAGGTACTTAACTATCTTCCGGATTCTCTTCCGGGCTTTAGGGCTAAATAATTACTGAGCAATTTGACGTAAGGCAGTCATTTCTTGTTAAATATAATAGATAAATTTTATTTTATTATAGAGTATTATTTCATAAATATTCTTTTAGAATTTGATATAACTTTATAACTTTCATTTGTATTTAAACTCTCTAATTGGTCTAATACAGTACTCAATACCAAAATATTTGCTAGATAAGATGTAACAACAGACAAACGATTGAAAGTACTATCTTCTTTATAATATTATTTATATAGTTAATCACAATAGTTATTATAAAATTTTAGGGATAAGTAAACATACTTAAATTATAAATTAGCTTAGTACGTATTGTCCTGTGTAAATAACGTTTGCAGTATATTGAATAATTGTATAAAGTAGGAAAGTATATATGTAAATACAGTTTTTATTGTAACATAATAGTACATTTTTAAATAAATAATTCTTTTTAAAATATTAATTACTTTGTTTTATAATTATTTTTCATTTTAGTTCTTTGCAACGGGTAATTTTCTCCAGTGTTTTAATTTTATTGGCGTACGCTGCAGCCGGATTTCTTCAGTTATCAATAGAGGTATAATAATTGTAAAGTACAGTTGTCCCTCGATAATCCGACAGGTATGGGACCAAAGGTGTGTCGGATTACCAAAAATGCTCGGATTACCGAAAATAATTACATATTTCGCATTGTTTTGCTAGCAGTAACTTACAATATTCTCAACTCCAATTGTTTGAACAGAACTGCTCACATAAAACACACAAAATGTGTGTCATCCAGTAAGAATTGGATGGGGAAATTCACACCGCGACATGCTTCTGTGCAAGCAGACACGTAACGGGGACGGGTACCTTGACGGGAGGTGCGTCGGACTACTAAGCATATCGGATTAAAAAACGTCGGACTATCGAGGGACAATTGTAATTAAAGCAATATTCACGATACGCCACTGGACAGTCATGAAATAACTGACTAATAGCAACGGTGATATCACTGTCAAATAAGGTCTTTCGAGTCCCAGTATTCATTCTCGAACTCGATAAGTTATTAGTTCTAAAATTCGATGACTCCGAATTCAAATTTTATTGTTATCAGTTAAAAAATACAAAACCAATTGAATAACATACTTTTGCATGACTTCAACTGCATTTTTTTTAAATTTAACATTGAAAAATTCTAAACAAAGACTTTAAATTTATGTAAAAGTATGTCTTAACCAATTGTTGAAGACACCTTTTTATTTATCAGTAGTGTGTCGTGAATATTATAAAAATTTATCGATAAAATTAAGCGTTCAAATACTTAAAATTAACTTTTTAATTGGCATATTTTACGGAAACAAGCCTCAAACATTCATTTTTTAATAGATAAATTATGGACAAGTTAATTGTTATTACATCAGATCAATTTCGGTTTCTTTTAATACCTTTCTCGCGTGTTTACCGATAGAGCTGACTGAGGACATATCCTGTATATTCATCTGACGTGACAGTTTTCTATTATGATGTTGTCGATGACTATTCTTCTAGTAGGATATTTTCTTACTATCGTAAGCCTCAACATTCTGAAACCTAGCCAGAATCGAATAAATCCTCGTGAGATATACCATAATCGAATAAATCCTCGTGAGATATACCATAATCGAATAAATCCTCGTGAGATATATCACGCTGTCGTTCAACATTGCTGCTCTTGCTCTATGAGCGTGTTGCAATCAGAAGAATTCAATTTCGTCGCAAATTCTTCCTCAGTGTTGTAATTGCCTTTCTCTGTATAAAGTAAACTATTCAAAATTACTGTTCTAAAGGTAGAAATTCGTTGTGTTAACCTATAAATGCTGCTTGATCTCATGGTAAGGTATAGTCTTGCATAATAACTTGGTTATCGTTGATACGACCTTTCTATTACAATATAATAAAATATGTATTAACTACCGATGAAATATGACCAATTCTTGAATAATTAATCTAAAGAATGTATAACTGTATTTATTACTAATTATTTTAATTCCTTTTAAATACATACAGGGTGTCCACTTAAACGTCTATCCGTGGCAAGAGATCTTTCCGGTAATGGTTAAAGTAGATCAGGTCGTAAACTATATCGGACACACATAAACATGATATTACGGTGTCGTGGTACGCATCTGTTCCGCTGCTATATGCGACTAGAAAAACGTGCAGAGCATTCGAGTGTGAAACGTGATAATATACTTACGACGTGATGACCCACAACTTTTTCGGCATTTTTTATGATGAGGCACTATTTCCGATGAGGCACTATTTTCCCGAATAAACTTCACAATGTGCATCAATGGGCAGAGCTCGCTTCATGAAGCACATAACATTTGAAACAAAAAAAGCGCGTTTTGCTTTAAATTTCTAGTGTAATATTTTGTGGGGCTTCATTTTTACCCATATTCGTTGATGGCATCCCGAATAGAGAATATCATATATTGTAAATGATATTTTCACTTTTTAAAAGTAGCTAATACACTGCTATACAGTAAATATAGGTCTACTACACTAAAACCTGTACAGCAAAAGAAGAAACGATGACTTAAACTTTCTGAAAAAATAACTAGAAAAAATAATACTTAAATTTCGAATAAAACTTATTCATTAAATTTGTTTATATTTTGTTGAAATTCTTTGAGATAATGCCCGAATTAATATTGTAATATTAATTCGGGCACTCATTTTTGAAAGATCGACCACGTGCTGCGTTGCCTTGTTGCTGTTGAATTGATGAGATAAGCTCTTATCAATCCAATAGAAAAATAACATCAATAATAACTATGTTTTATACCTATTAAAATTAAAAAACACAATTGATAATTTATATTTTTCAGAAAAATTCATCGAACTGCGATTTCAAAAATAACCTTATTTTTGTAAATAAAAGCACTCCATGTGAAATGCATCTGGGAATCTGTTTAAATTCAACCGTAAGGAATGGTACGCAGGTAAGTCCTTCCAAATGTAATAATAATAATAATACACAAAAACTTTATAAAAATATTTAGCAGCAGATAAAAGAAAATACGGTTGGTTTTTGAACTATTCTTGTCTTATCGAATCTAAGAGGGTCTTTTCAAACCTATTGTGAAACCAACGATTTGACCAGACACACTATACTTAGGCCGGGCGGAGAGGTCTGGGAAGAGAGATATTTCTGATACTTTAAAATTTCCTGGGGAATTTTGACTGCTTCAACCTGATTCCGGGTTCACCAGACGAAGGGCTGACACCCTGACGCTTTTGCTTCCACGGACAATTCGTCGTTCTTTATCACTTACTAAAAAAAATAATAATTTTCAAAATTTACTTTTATGAATTACATTAAATTTAAAATGTGTTTATATAATTAAATGGCTATTGAAATTAATTTCAATCTTAAGATATTTAATTTACACGAGAAAATAAAATTAATTAGATTAATTAAAGGAAACATTATCCAAAATGGTTTTCATCTTAATGCAATTGTAATAAATTGTACTATGATAAAAACGAATATTAATTATACTTTTTTAAACTATAATTCGATTGACGTCACTTTGACTATTTATTCCGATGACAATGTCGCAGCCACGAAGGTAATTATTCATATTGCCCTCAATAGGTGCTATGTGTGATGAAGTACAGAGCGCGATTGATGAGCGGAATCCCAACCGAATCTAAATCTGTCTTGGAGAGACCACACTTAAAAAATTTGATTTCGAGTTTGCAGTGCGCTTGATTGACATCTTAACCACTTTGTTATCAGATCATCTTCTGTATATTGCAACAGACTAAAAATGTGTATTGATTTGTGTGGGACAGATGACAAAGATTTAAATCTCTCCATTAGGACATCGGTAGGAATTGAGTACACAACATAAAATTTATTTTTATTATTTTTGAAATCTGATCAAAATTTCAAGGCGATTTTTAAGAGCAAAATTTTGCCAACCGTGTATACGTAGTCTAACGAGTTCAATGATCATGTAAAACTATGACTGTTGAAAACGTCACTTATTCGCCATTTAGTGGTCGAGTAGATAAAATCGTTGAATATTGGTAGTTTGTCAGGGATTCTCGTCTCAACAGCGGGTTGTCTGATGCAGTTTCCGGGTTCCTTCGCATGATTAACACCTAAAAAGTGACCAGTTTCTTGGGAAGTATTCCCATTGGCAGATGGCCCATGTGTTCCGTTGCTTATCGCACTTCATCGTATTGATTTCATATATTCTTCCTATTGTTATTTTTATATTGTTTTAATTTAAAAAGTACTTTCTCAACATGGACATTGACAGTATAGTCATAAATTAATAACTTCAATTAATCAAATTGGAGACTTAGTAATACAAATATTACATATATTAACAATTTCGACAAGAAAATATATGTATTTTTTATTTACGTTAGGATTGGAGGCAAGACAATACATTAGAATGCGAACCTCTGTCCATTATGCTTCAAATTCCTCAATACGTATTGCTGTCAATTGGAGAGATAATATTTGCCATTAGTCTTATAGAATTTGCATATAACGAAGTAATTCTTTTAAGTGTTTTTAATTTAAAATTTCGATCAATATACAATTAACCTAATTTAACATTTCTGTTGCTAAAGGCTCCCGAAAATATGAAATCCACTGTTCAAGCTTTTCTTTTCCTGAATGCGGCGTTTGCAAATTTCATAATTCTCATTATTCAGCAATTAAAATTTTTAACTGAAGAGGTAAGTCTTTATTTATTTCTATTATTATTATTATAAACGTATAAATATTATGAAGAAGGAACATTCAAAAAATATCATAAGGGTAAATGTAAATCCTTTTAATGACGATTTAAGTTATATTTACGTGAATGTACGATATTTTTACTTTATAATACTGTTGTAATAAACTAATATTTATTTTTCTAGTCTTACAAATTATTTTTTTATTTCGGCCTGGGGATTTTGGATATTACTGTTCTAATAGTTTTGTCATACAACTATAAATACAGAAATGACGTTACAGGATTTGAATCTCTGTCAACAAAGAAAAGACGAATGCCATAGAAACGAACAATGTCTTTTAAATAACAAGCTATTCTCTATTGTAATATTTGTGTAAAGATATAAATTTTATATATTATAAGTATAGCACATACAGGAAGAAAAAATTATTTATAGAATTTTACTGTTGTATTTATTTTCATTTATATATGAGTATATATGTTACCGCGAAAGCTCGAAAGTCGTTAATGTGTACATTACCTAGCTAATATGCAGATTAACTAAGGTGATCCGTTAAAGTTGTGAAAATCGTTCCATTTCTCAAATTACCTAGATAATGTGCAGAGTATCCAGGTAATCCGCACATTACCTACTTGACACTCGGTAAAGTGAAAATAAGATCTTTGCCACAAATAAATGTACAGTACCACAAATAGGTGTTCTTGTCGCAAAAACCAATTGCTATGAAATTCAAAGTGTCACCAATCTTTAGACTGCACTAATAAGTAAGCACAATTGGTTAATGTTACCGATGGTGAGTAAAATGGCGGCTCGTCTCTGATTCCAGCAAAGAGAAGAAAGGAAACATAAGGACGCACGTTCTAACCTAACCTAATCTATTCTAATAATTTGGTTGGTAATAATTATGGTTATTTATTAGAATAGGTTAGGTTAGGTGAGAACGTGCGTCCCCACTGTTTCCTTTCTTCTCTTTTCTAGAATCAGAGACGAGCCGCCATTTTACTCACCATAGGTAACATTAACTGCAGAATTATATCATGCCATCACCAGAAAAAGGATGATAACTTTATTATTTTTCGTCTCTGGTCCAAAAGTAGGGTATTGTTGAAGTCGTCTCGGTCCCTTCAGTTCAGATAGATATGCAAAGTCCCGAAATTCTATACGTAGTTATCTATATCGGTGTTTTTCAAACTGTGGGTCGCGACGCTTAGGGGGTCGCAAAGCCTAACACGGGGGTCGCGGGTAAAAGAAAACGACAAGTGTTTGTAGGTCCTACACTACAATAAATAAAACTAAAATTTAAGTGAGAAGGCTTTGCGTTTTTATTTTAAAGTACAATTGGTTTTTCGATCAATATTTAGGTCTTAACAGAAAGAAAATTAAATTCGTAGTTTTCGAAATCACTGATATAGTTTTAATATGGCCCTGGTGGTCGCCAGAAATTTTTAACTTGTGAAGGGGTCGCGTATTCAAGAAGGTTGGAAAACACTGATCTATATAATAATTTCCCTAATTGTATTAATATTTTAAACCGTTTGATTTTTTTTTTTAATTAGTTGATGATTGATTCTATCAACTAATTTGTTGATTGACTGTATTAAGTTGATTCTTTAGATATCGAAAATTAAATAAAGAACATTATGTTAATTTAAACGTACAGAAACGTTGTTGTTGTTCCAGCGAAGATCTTATTTTCACTTTACCAAGTGCCTAGTAGGTAATTTGAGAAATAGAACAATTTTAGCAACTTTAACGGATCACCCTAGTTAATCTGCAGATTAGCTAGGTAATGTACAACTTTCGAGCTTTAACGACTTACGAAATTAACGACTTTCGAGCTTTAACGGTAACATATATACTCACTTTACATCTGAAATAAATTACTTCATATTTAAGTTGAAATTTCTATTTATTTTTTCTTCAATCGAATTTTGATTTGTTGTCATCTTGTCATCATTTGTTTTAGGTATTTCACAAAAGTAATCCTAATGTATACGAATCTTAACACAAACAATTATCTTTCACAGTATTATTAAACAGTTCTAACAATACGACGAATTTTTCAAATAAAAGTATTGTTTTGAATGCGCGACAGCATTGAATCAATCATGTTAAAATACATATTATTTCTGTTAAAAATAACGACTGAATTATCGCGTATAAAATTACTGCACACGAACATTGTGTATTTAAATACAATCAAATTTTCAGTGAAATATTTCAGAACAATAATCACAAAATAAATAAAGAAACCGTATGGATTTAACAATGTTGTATATCGTGTTAGTGTCATTGTAAATTATTGTTTAATAAATGCTATTGTAATGTATAATAAGTAATATTTTTCATGAAATTTTACATATTGTAATTTGTTTCCTTATTCTTTCTTACATATAACAGAGAGATAATACTAACTTGTAAGTAAAATTAATATTTATTCCAAATTATTAATAGATATTAGTAAAGAATTAATGCTTTTTTAAATACTTTGTCCATTGAGCAGAAGAAAGGGTCAATAAAACTAATATAACATTAGTAAAGAATTAGACCATATGCATAAATTTCGGTATTAACTTTCGTTAAAATAATATTTTAAAAATTGCTCTGAAAACTTTGCCAGAACAATTTGAACACATCAAAATTGAATT